CCCGCGTCGGCTCTGGGAGTCTCACAGTGCTGTCCGTGGGGGGATGACCCACGGTACAGAATCACAGGATGGATTCCTGAGAATGAGAAGCCGTGGCTGCCCCATCCCTGGAAGTGTCCAGCGCCAGGTTGGACAGAGCTTGGAGCAACCTGGGATAGTGGAAAATGTCACTGCCCGTGGCACGGGGTAGAATGAGATGAACTTTAAGGTCCCTTCCAACACAAACCATTCTGTAGTTCTGTGATAGTTGGTGTTGCCAGGGACATGTCAACTCCATCTGATCTGAGCCCCTGCTCATGCCAGGCCACCCAGAGCCAGTTGCCCAGGACCATGTCCAAGTGACTGCTCCTCGGAGCCTGGTGGCCAGTCCATCTCCTAAAGCACTTTTTGTCACAGAATCATCAAATCACTGAATGGTTTGGGTTGGAAGGGACCTAAAAGCCTATCCAGTGCCACCCCTGCCATGGCAGGGACRCCTCCCACTGKCCCAGGYYRCTCCCAGCCCCAATGTCCAGCCTGGCCTTGGGCACTGCCAGGGATCCAGGGGCAGCCACAGCTGCTCTGGGCACCCTGTGCCAGGGCCTGCCCACCCTCACAGGKARGAATTTCTTCCTAAATAAAATCYAAATCTGCCCTGCTTCAGCTCTTCTCCTTTGCTTTTTCATGGCTCCTGCAGGTGATTGTGCCCATCCTGAYGAACAGGAAGAACCATCAGGGCTGGCCACGAGTGGTGTCACAAGACATCATCCATCATGTCCACCGCCTGAAAAATACTGTTTTCAAGGTTGTTGGCCAAGTAAAAGGCAAGACTTTGCTGCCTCTTCCAGCTGGGTCAGAGGGAATTGAGGACATTGATCCTAAAAATGAGAAATTGTGAGTACCAGCCCTTGCTCTCCACTGTGATTTTTTCTGTTGATGCCTGTGCTATGTCTTTTGGGGATCTTCCCTGTCAGACATGGGGCCTGTTCTTGTTCCCTGTCCTCTGCAGCTGCTCAGTACCAAGGAGGGGTATTCTGCTCTCTCTGGTTCGTGGGTTCTGTCTATGGGGCTGTGCAATGATAAAAGCAGCAAAAGCTCARCAAGTGGAAGGGGATGTGGGCACACAGAGAAGCAACAAACTGCTTGGATCACTGAGGGAAAACTCCAAACTGCAGTCAGGCTGCTCCAAACCCCAATGTCCAGCCTGGCCTTGGGCACTGCCAGGGATCCAGGGGCAGCCACAGCTGCTCTGGGCACCCTGTGCCAGGGCCTGCCCACCCTCCCAGGGAAGAATTTCTTCCTAATAGCTAATTTAACCCACTCTCAGTTTAAAGCCATTTCTCCTTATCTTGTCATTAACTGCCTTTGTCAATAGTCTCTCTTCTGGGTTTGATTGTTTGTGGTTTTGAAACATGAATCTGGACCATAAAAGATAAAAAATCCAGCTGCCCATTGAGGGAGATCCAACTGAGCAATGCACATGGGCGGGTGGAAGGCAAAGTAACCCATGTGTTCTGCTTTCTGCAGCCTGCAGCTGATCAATAAATCCCTCATCCACGCCACCGAATCAGCCATCATTGACTGGAGCCAGCAGATCCAGAGAGTGCTGAGGARAGAGTCCTCAGAGCCTCTCCTGCAAGGCAGAAACCCAACCCCAAAGGTGGAGCTGGAGTTCTGGAAG